TTCCTGCTTGAGATATCAAGGTCGGGTTCTAGGGTCCAGCATCACCTGGACTCAAGAGTGCTGGTACATACCGAACCCCTGCGTGGCTCCCACACCTCACTAGAAGCCAACACACACACACGACTTGCCCAGCGACCCAGCGAAGGGACGCGGCGACTGGGAGAGTGAGTTGTCGAGTCTTGTCGGTCGGCGACCATGTCCCTCCCAACCCCGGCTTTGTGTCCCGATGATTGAGTGAGCGGTCGACGCACTCTCATTCTTGTATGTCCGGCACACTTGTGCGCTTCGCATGGCCCCAAGCCGGACTGCGACTGCAACAATGAAAGGAGCCGCATTCTGCGTGGTCCTTCGCTCCCCTGTCAGTTCGCCGCCGCCTTGTTCGAACCACTCGACCTCTGGTTGCCTTTTACTTAACCCAGACGTGCCCTCTCCCCCAACCTTAGATTTCTTTCTCACCCTTCTGCATCGAACGGTTGCTAGCCCTTTTCGACCGTTAGCAGTATTGTTCCTTTGCAAATCAAAGATATCATCTCTCCTTTTCTCATTTGTGACTCCGTTGTGAGGCCTTGCTCCACAAGGCCGTGATCACTAGACTACCACTGTTCTCTTAGTTGCACCCTGCCTTATACACTGTCTGCCCTTGTATCAAGGCCCTCACCTCAGCCAGGCATAAACGAGGCCACTGTTTTACCGTTCGACCACAAGTGCTCGCCCCTCAAGCCATGACCAAGACCACGTCTTCTGCTAGGGAGAAAGAGCTTCAGCACGAGGTGAACACATTGAAGGCACAGGTTGAGCTGTACGAGAGCCATATCGCATCACAAAGTCAGCAATCCCCAGGCCCCGGATCATCAGCAAATCTTTCTCCATGCTGGAATACTCAACCCTCCAGGGGGAGTCGAGCATCTTTTGATGCCGCCATGGACGTGAGTTCTTTACTTTGTCCACACAAGGCACAGCGGTTCTAGACCAGGAGTTGCTAACATGTCGTATTCAGGGTCGACGTGGACATATTTGGCGTACCCAAACCCGCCAGAGAGCTTATTCGCAGCAGGACCATCCAGATCACCTTATGACTCGCAGCATATCCAACCATTCCGAGCTGGATATGCAGTACATGTATGGTGGCGCGGCGACCTCGTTCATCAGTGTCCCAGGCTTTGCGAACGGGGGCTCGCCTGCCGCCTCGATCAGTGGTCACTTGGCTAGTGTGCATGAAAACGACGCTCTTCCAGATGTAGGGGTCCATCCCGGTACTTATCTTTCAACTCGCGATTGGTACACTGAGCAGTCGTACTTAGCTTCAAATGGGACTCATTTGTCTCCAGATGAAGCGCAGAGCAGCTTTGTACCTTCAGCTCCTCCATCCATGGTGTCTGGGTTCTCAGCCCTGGAGCCTACCCAGCCACTTACAAGACATAATAGCTCTTATGGTGGCAGCAATGGTGCAAATATGGTGAGGTTTCCGTCTTCTCAGTCTCATCGTACGGACGAGCTTTCGCCTCACGACCCTCTGCAAGCCACGGATGTCGAGGATCACTGCGCAATGAGTGCCGTCTCCGACACCGACTTCCTCGCCATGGGCTCTCGTTTCAGTATGACTGGCCAGGAATATCCTCCATCCACTGAAAGTGCTACTCTACTATTGCCGACCCCTGTCTCACAGTCAATGGAACGCTCCATTTCGAACACTAGTGCTTCCAGCGCGAAGTCAACAGGCTCGAATGCAGACCGTCGCCTAAGAGAGGCTCTGACACGTACTCTGAAGAATGGCAGGACGAATGTGATTCGCCCCAAAGCCGATAGCGCGTTGCCCGCCAAGACTTCAACCACTGCACCACAGAAGAAAGCCGGCAAAATCCCGCTGCAAAAGACTCCCTATCAGCGACCTAAGGGTCCAAAAGTCTTTTGCCGCTTCTGCGAGGACCACCCCGATGGCTTCCGTGGTGACCATGAACTTCGCCGTCATCTCAACGCCAAACACAAAGGTGTTGTCAAGAAATATGTGTGTCGAGATCCAGCAACTGTTGGGATTGTGTCCGAGGTCCAAGCTTTACAACCATTGTCGGAATGCAAGGCTTGTTCTTCAGGCAAGAAGTACGGGGCGTACTATAACGCCGCGGCACACCTTCGCCGCACCCATTTCAAGCCAAAAGCTCCTCGTGGGAAGAATAAGAAGCCCAATGATGAGAAGCGTGGAGGAAAGGGCGGTGGTGACTGGCCCGCCATGTCTGAACTGAAACTTTGGTTCCAAGAAGTTCTGGTTCCCCGGGATGAGGATGCTGATGAGTGTTCAGTTATCGCAGTCGCTGATGACGAGGTTCCATTTGTGAAGGATGACAATAACAACTTTGAATGGGTGCTCGATCGAGCAATCGACCACGATGCGTCTGACCGCGATGCTGAGGGCGACTCTTGCATGCCGTCGTGGAACCCCCTAGCTGGCCTGGCTACACAATATCCAAATGACGGTATGTGCAGCCTGAGAACCACCTCTGTTGAGGATACACAAATGGTTGAGCTCTCCTCTTTTGACCAAGTACACCCAGTCAACTACGTGGATGAGTTTCCGTTGGCTGGGATTGACACTGGCTCTTACGACCCAGCTCTTTTGGAGTCTCCTTCACCCGCATCTGCCCCTGCCTTTTACACCCAGGATCAATCCTACCAATGGCCCAACGCGATGTAAGCGCTCAAGTATGCAGCCACTGTGCTGAGTCGATCTTAAGCTTCTAATCCATGCGACCATCGGTGGAATTTATCGTCACTTGCCACCCATAATATCCTGGCCGAGAAATGGACAGTGGCGGATGGACTAGGCTTCAAGAACTCGTACCTGGTCGCAACGGCTGATTCACGAACAAAACTTTCTTTAATTTTGTTCTTCTTTCTTGCAGAATGAGAGTGCAGCCTTTTTGACCAGGTTTCAGGCTAGTTCCATATCTGACTCTACATGGGAGTCAACGGTACCCTCAATCGTGGTTTATCGGATAAGGCTTATTGGCTAATCATTCGCTTTCTTTACCGTTGTTCAACCTGATTCTGGCTTATCAGTTTATCTATTTCTTACCTTTTCTTCGTCCGTCGTCTTTTTATGCTGCCATTGTTAATTTTTTTTTGCCTTGTTTTGGCCTGGCATCTTTGCAAATGATATTAAGTAGTGGGGGATACGTTGAGGGGATTTGGACATCCTGTGCGGACCACTATCGCACAAATCTTGGCTTTGTAGCGACTACATACCACGTTTCCTTCAGCCACGCCGATGCAGACTGGTTGTTGGCCGTCTGGGGTACACGGATAGAGAAGGACTGCACAATGTTGGATTGGGTTATGAGGACACGTTTATACGACTGATTGGGCATATGCTATTTATAGAGGCGTTTGGGCATGGCGGATATGATATTCTGGAGAGGATACCCATTTATAACGACTTTTTGTGTCTTCAACCTGATTTATGGAGAGGTTTGGGATATACGGATTATCTTTACACATACATAGACTTGTATATCAGTGTTAACGGCTATCATGGGATTGATCTTGGCGTTTGTCATATGACAAGAGTAGAATCAATGTATACTTGCTGATTCAAGTTAAATACGCCGGTGTCATTTCTTTTTTTCGAAGCGAGTATTCTGAAAACCAAGGTCAAAGCAATCTTGCCAAGCACGTGGCTACTAATCAATCCTGGCAAAATCTATCCCCGGCCGGATCCACCAAATCTATCGCACCAGACATCACCAAGCATCTGCACCCACCTCGCCTTCAACAATGTCACAACCAACGGCACGAAGGTCAGCTGCACCATCCGTCTTTTCATCAGGTCAATTAGCCCCAGCACACCAAATTGCCTTCATCAGACGCACAATTTTTCGTAATGGAACGCTTGGCGCTGTGCTGTTCGTTCTAGCTGCCACTCTCGCCAACCATGTTCGAAGGGTGCTTGTCCCATGGCTGGGACAGTTTATCTGGTGGCACGCTATTGGAAATATGAAGTTTGCGAGGTCGTCGCCACACTACTTCGTTGAAGAATCATTGTATTTTACTTGGAGCGAGGTTCTGTTCTGGGTATGCTGGACTGTTACCGGGTATCTTGTTTTTACGGGCATTCAGCATGGGCTCGTCCCCGAAGAGGGCACCTCCCCCGGCCAGAAAGATGCCCCCCCGAAGCCGCTGCTACTTCTTGATGGGAATCAAGAGGTGACTCTTGGTATACACGCCATGCTCCGCATGGCAATGAGTTTAACCCTCATGGAGGGGTATTACACGCAGGCATGCTTCTCCGCAGCCTACATGTACGCCTTGGCACGGCTAGTTGTACACGGAGGCGCGGTTGAACGTGTCTTTTTGTGGCGTTGCATATCTGAGAGATGGCTGCACGCTGTGTTTCAATGCGGAATGGTGCTTTACTGGGTCTGTGTTCATTTCCTGCCCACGGCTCGGAGGATAGCCAGGGCCACAGTAGCTGGGAAGCCCGCAATGGGGGTGGTTCATGGGATTGTATGGTGCGGGACGGCGTATTTGGTGCGCTATTCGAACAAGTATTTCCTCTTCTTAGAGCTGGGTGACATGTTGGTCACGCTGGGGTGGATGGTGCTGGGATTGGTTGCGGTGTTGCTGTTGAAGCTGGAGATGATGTTGGGGTGGAGAGACGCAAAAGAACGGGATATTCGGCCAAGATGAATGCTGACAACAAAATATTATGCTGCGAGCTCCCTAGTCGCATGTCAAATGCACATATTCCTCGGCAATGTCCATGTTCTGTCTCTGCATACCAACTGTGAAAAATCGTTGTCCATTCATGCATTATCAAGTACCCCTGGGGCATCGCTCCATGATTGCCTTGTTTACTTTCCGAATATCCCACCGTGTAAATGCAAACCATGCAAAGCCCAAGCCCAAGCCCAACTCCCAAAGCAAAAAAAAAAAAAAAAAAAAAAAAAAAAAAAAAAAAAAAAAAAAAAAAAAAAAAAAAAAAAAAAAAAAAAAAAAAAAAAAAAAAATCACAGCTTCTTAACCTTGTCAGTCCACTCCTTGGCCGCCCTCACGCCCTCATGTCCCCTCCGGAACAGATTCCTCTCCCACTCATCCAGGCCCCTCAGAAACTCCTCCCCCTGGCCGCCTACAGAGTCCTCGCCCTTCCTCGCATGCAGCCCAACATTGTTGGCCCTCACGACAAACGTGGTCCTCAGCACGGCACCCAGCTCCCTCTCGTCGAACAAGTCCAACATCCTGACGCCAACTCCGTAAAAATGCGCGCTCTGGTCACGCAGCGCAACTGCCCGCGGGTCGGCCTTCAACGCGTTGATGACTTGGTCGGACAGGCAGGGCGGCAGGTTCAGAGTCAGGGGGGCCTTTGAGTCTTCTCCGGCGGAGGCGAGCGCGAGCATTTCGGCAAGCCAGAGGGGCAGGGAGAGCGGCGTGCCGGGCTTGAGGCCGGAGGAGTTGTCGAGGTGGCCTAGGTAAGGGACGTCGAGCTCGAATTGGCAGGGGACTTTCTGCGGAGGGTCAGCTGGACAGGTTGGCATCGCGAGTCGTCATTGAGAGTCTATGGGTACCTCTGCGTCTGTGAGGATAGCATCCACGTCGTAGTACGACATTGCGAATGGCGCTGCGGCATTGCCAGTGGAAGAATATCCGTCTACACAGAGGTCCAGTTGGTGGGATGCCATGCGATGCGATGCGATGCACCGCGACTTGGGCTCCTCCACAGTGTCCACACGCGTCTGGGTAGCGAAAGCATGTGATTACTAACGCCTGTCACGGCACTGGCGCACTGTTTGCTCTGGCAGTGGCAGTGTCGTCATTGCAAAGCACAGACTGCCTGACAGGGTTCCACGGCAGATGTGAATCTCGATGCTGAATGTTTCGTGCAAACTACGACACCTCATTCTATAGAAAATTAATGGTCATCTTCGAGGCACCCGTGTTTCGGTTACAAAGAAAAAAGCATTAGAAGTGCGTCGCTCTGAGTTTCAACTGTCAAGGACTTTGACGTCGGCTCGGACCTGCGCTCGCCTCCGATCGGCTAGTTTACCTAAAGGCTAGCAGACAGTGCATTATATCCCGCCTCGCGGCCCGGCAGTGTAGAAAGGCCGAGATTCTAGGTTTTCACATTGAAGAGGAATTGCATTTTTGTAATTTTATTTCATAATTGCACAAGGCTGGTGACGAATTGAGTCCTGCCAAGGACGTGCTTGAACAGCGTTCTTTATTGAGCCGAATAGTCTACCTAGGTGTCGTCAAGAACCACAATTAACTCAATCAACAGACTCGAAGCCAAAAAAAAAAAGGAATTCTGGGCACCAAACAGACATCTTCCCAATTTCATTGCTATCGAATTACCAACCTATAATACCTACTTCCCTGGGTAGCACATAGTTTTTGTAACAGCTTTCTTAATTCCGGTCAAGCCACACCAGCCACAACACCAGCCTTTCCGCAACGGGCCAATCACCCACAGTGACGACAGTCTGATCTAATGAGCTCCAGCACGTTGAAGCTCGGCTATCCGAAAGCTCCTGTTCACAACTTTGACATCATCCACCCACCCTGGTCCAATTGGTAAGCCAAACATCCAGATTAAATATTAACCTCCAGCCTGCATCCGTTACCCGTCCCGACCTCTTAATCCATTCCTCCCACCTCAATCGCATCTCCGTCAAAGCCGTCTCTCTCTCCGCAAGCCAACAGACTCATCGTTGCCAAACAGAGAACCCACCATGTCATCAGCGCTTCTTCGCACCACGCCCGTTGTGAGGGCCGGCCTTCGCGCTGCTAAGCCCATGGCCATGGCTAGCACAAGCTTCGTTCGTGGCAAGGCCACTCTGCCTGATCTTCCCTGTAAGCCTATCCCCGTTGGTTCCGTCGCATCCGCATGATTCTCTCACCGACGTGCATGGCTGGAGGAACAAACGTCGCTAATTCCTTGCGCGATTGATTGCCGCCAATAGACGACTATGCCGCTCTCGAGCCCTACATCTCCGGCCAGATCATGGAGCTCCATCATTCCAAGCACCACCAAACCTATGTGAACAGCTTCAATGCCGCCACCGAAGCGCTCGCCGAGGCCCTTTCCAAGAACGACACCAAAGCGGCCGCTGCTCAAGCTCCTCTTCTGAACTTCCACGGCGGTGGCCACGTTAACCACTCCCTTTTCTGGGAGAACCTGGCCCCCAGTGGAAAGGGCGGCGGTGGTGAGCCCGAGGGCAAACTTTTGGTATGTCGACCTGGCCCTCGTCAGCCCCTGGGTGCGCACATGAATACTGACAATTGTTCTTCTGCGTAGACCGCCATCAATGAGGATTTCGGGTCGTTCGACAACTTGAAGAAGCAGACCAATGCGGCTCTTGGTGGCATCCAAGGCTCTGGCTGGGCCTGGCTCGTCAAAGACAAGACCTCGGGCACACTGTCTCTTGTCACTCGTGCCAACCAGGATCCCGTCACTGGCAACCTTGAGCCTCTCCTGGGTATTGACGCCTGGGAACATGCTTACTACTTGCAGTACCAGAATCGCAAGGCTGAGTACTTCAGTGCCATCTGGGAGGTCATCAACTGGGGCACTGTTTCCAAGCGTTTTGAGAAATGAAAAGCAGTGTCTGACGTGTCACGAATGTAGTTGAAGATATGTAATATATACACCTTGGCACAATACTCAATGTGCGCGTAGCTCGCCAATCGTTACAAATCCCCATGCTCTGTCATCAATCGACGCTAATACAAGCACCATTAGAAGTATTAGTTCTGAATTTCAGCATTAGCCCCAAAGAAACTCCAACAGACCCTTTTGAAGTCATTGTGCTATGGGAGTTGACATCGAACGACTCCTTGGTATACTGCCAACTCGACAGGGAATTCTTGACAAAATATTTCGCTTGCATACTCATACCAGTCAGAGTTCTTGTCACTGGTGCGGGCTTCAAAAAATTTGACATATTCCCACCAGTCAGGATACCAGCCTGCACAGTCCCAGCCCATAATGGCAATGATTTGGAACTTGTCAACTATTATATTCTTGGGACAAATGTCGCCGTGCGACATCACAAGCGGAGATTCACGCTTGAGTTGCTCAGCAAGTGTAGCACCAACAGGACCGGGAACTGTGCCGTAAAAGGACGACATAAGAAATGCTATAAACATGCTGTGAGTAGGGCTTTGCCGCACAGCCCAGTGGGTGTTGTTTTGGTGCTTGTCCAGCATGAGGGAACATTTTCCAGAGGCAATAGACCCCAGCTGCGCATTCTGTCGTGGAGTCTTCCGTAATTGTGTGACGAATTTTCGAACCTGACGAGCCATATCATATTTCTGCGAAGCCGAAAGACATTTCTAAACATCTTCCAGCAGTGAGCCATATGCCACGCGGTCCAAGGAGTATTCACGTGCAGGGACAAGCTGGCTGACTTGGTTCAAGGTGGGCAGCCGCAACACTGGAAATCCCATTCGGCGCATTAGTTCGTTTACAAGCAGCCCGACGCTTGTGATTTGGCCCATGTGTGTTGACACTGCAGGAACGGACTTTTTGGTCGGCTTTGGCTCCAAGGTCAGCCGCAACAGCCAGCTTTGAAGTAGGCTTGTAAGATATGTCGTGTGATGGCTAGGGGGAGGCGCTGTGCGGCAGGGTTAGATGAGTCCAGAAGCTGAACATGGTACTGAAGTCACATACGGAGGGGGAGATGGGGAGCGTGTTGTCGACGGAGCCGGTCATCAAATGCAATGTCTCCCAGGTGTTCTTGCTCGAAAAAGTCGCGGGATCGTTTCCGTAATGTAGCATCGGGACGATCCGAAGTGGGACTGGCAGCATCTGTATCTTTCAGTGCTACAATATTAGAACCAGTGATGCGAATGCACTTGACTCGTGGCGGTTTTGGAAGCTCGTCTTCTTTGGCGGAAGCATCTCTGAGCATTTTCGCCCGTTCGGGGTTCATCGCCATTGTAGTAGATGATGAAGACTTTTCTGATGCCCAAACACACTTTGGGAGGAGACGTGCATCGAGACACTCCCAAAAGCCCTGGAAGGCGAGATTGAACGTAGAACTTGTGACGATACTGGGAAGATTGCCAATGTCAGCATCTGAGGCTTTGATTGTTGTGCCGGATGGAAACATGCACGCTGGTGGAACAGCTGCATCCAGCGGCAGGTGCCAGACACCTATCAGACCCCAGACCTACACCACTGTACCTGACATCTGCCTGCCACACGCAGCATATGTTCTCAGCATATCTAGACAAACAATTTGCATTTCGATCTCAATATTGGTGAGCTCTACAAAACATCCCTGTCTCTCTTATATTGCTTGCTGGACTCTAGTCGCAAGGTCTTTTGAGACGTGGTTGAAACCACCCATCGAATACTGACGTCAATCCGGATCGGCGCCAAGCCCTTTGCTCATCGTTAGCTGGACCTCAGGTTTCTCGATGTTACCACCGCGTCAGTGCTCAACTCTGGCGGCTGTTGAGTATGACGCTTTCATCAACGGTTTGCAGCATGTGTCGCCAACTACCTTGAACGTCAGCAGCCGGTCGATGATTGCCACCTGTGGGCGGCGTTATCACGACAGCCGAGAGAACAACCGAAATTCAGATGCCCTCTGGCTTTGCAGACGGAAGCATATGCTGGCGATGAGTCTTGTTCTTCACTCATCTCTCTCTTCTCTATCCCTGGTGGAGGCTTCATTCTCTCTTGTGAGTCGTGACGGCCGTCCGTCCCCTCCCTTGAGGGATCCCTAGCGCATCCCAGTCAACAGGTCCGGCGGCGGTGGCGACGCAACTCTGTTTTAGGAGAGCTTTACGATCACCGAATATGATCAATCCAAATATGATCGTGTTGCCCGCACATCCTGTACTCGGCCGACTCGCAAACTGTGATGGTGCTTGATATTGACATTGAACTCTTTCTCTGTCTCAGCAGTCTAGAAGTCTCGAGTCTGTCCATCTGATGAATCACTGGTTGACGATTGTATGGTCATCAAACGCTGCGAAGGGTACTGGAACAATGGACGTCGGAGCTTGTGGCATGTCAAATTTGAAATGATGGGAATATTGGAAGCTGGATTTTGAACTTTACTGAATTCGCGATGATGAAAAGAGTCGCATAGACCATCGATCGAACTCTCGGCATGTTAAATTTGTTCTCAGTACTCATTCCTAACACCCGAACGCCGAAACTTCGGAATGAGATTAATCTACGCCGCCTGTGAAACGCACAAACGGCCTGGTCTAGACCAGATGCGCATGGTCAGACTAGCTTTTCGTCAATGGCGCTCATGTTGAATGAGACTCACGGGCTCAAACTGGATGATAATCCATCGCACAAATGCCGAATTTAGGTTCGGATGTCGACTGCATGCGTTGCCGTGCTGCCGTTGTTACACTTGAAGGCGGTTACCGGCATCCTCACCGCCCTCTCTGGCTCGAAATTCTGGACGTCAATCTGTGAGGCATTATCTTGCATCTATCCTCCAACGCCGCTCGCTTCTTTGTCCCATGAAATTCTCATACGGCATCCACAAAGCTCACCTTGCCGAAACCGAAAGTCTGGGCTTGTCTGTCCATGCTGTGCTGTATTCGGCAATTGGAAGTACGAAAGCATCCTACTTGAACCGTGAATGCTGGCAGCTCTTCTGACATTCGACGGCTTTGAAAAGGACGAACTGCAGAATTTCTCTGAAAATTATTTGGAGCCTATGGCCCTGCGTAAGGATGAAATTTTTGACACTCTCAAGAATCTACATCTGATACTCATAGTTGGCGCTTCAACCTCGACGTACTTTCCTATATACCGAGACGGATCTTGATGCTTCTATGCATCAAGGGCAAATTGCGTTCGACCAGGTCAAATTACCCAGATATGGCCTCTGCAGGAATGAAATACTGCCGCATTTCAGTTTCCATTAAGCCATACAATGGCATATGATTCTGGGGATTGCGCGGTTGTCCTTGTTCGTATATACACGGGTGTGGCGTCCCGTCTTCAGGTACTTCAATTTCCCCAACGGATTCGAAGGAAATAGGACAGGCAAATTGACGAGCTCCTTGAACCCGGAAACCTTGGTTTCACAACACAGAAACGGCCCATTGCCGAAATCCGCTTCCCGTGCGGAATGACGGCATCAGCGTTTCCCAGATGTTATACGAGAGTAATTCGGCGATGGTAATCTTCTGTTTCCAGCACCTGATATCCCAGAAATGTGTTTATGCAGCACAGTGTCCATCTTTGATAGTGGCTATATGTCAGTGCTGGATGAAAGCGCAACAAGAGAAATCGCTACTTGCGATGTGATGTAATTTTTCTCTGGGTAACGTTACGCAAGTCCATACATATCTATGCAGACGGCTGGGGGAACATTAAACTCACAAAAGCTTACCTGGGATTGATCTTGGGTCTTCCGTGGACCCGCTGTTCGGACACCTTGGAACACCGATCCATTGGGCCGGTACGCCAGTGAAGATATTTGAGCATGGTTTCTTGTGTCACTGGTATACGAAGGAACGGGAAGACTAGCCTGCGTTCGTTCATCTTGAACCGACAGTTTGGTAAGCGAACGGGGCGGCGCTTTGAACCCCAACATTTCAGTCCCCATTGCATGGAGAAAAAGCCTGGTTACTACTGTCTCATCCTATCCAAAACGCCGGATCTCATACGTTTCACAGAGCCAGAAGTTTTGATGAGCACGCCAAGCTTGGAAAGAGTCAACACAGCGTCAACATCACCGGGAACGAACTGGCCAGGCCCAGGGCCACGGAGGTCTGCATCTCTCAAGGCGCTTTCTCGGTAACCAATGTTTTCGCCGACGCCTGTCTCACGCGTAAAGGCAAGGCAAGAAAATTATTGGAGTGGTGCAAGGGCAAGGCGTTTCTCACATTTCGGCAATGTCTTCTTAAACTTCCACATGTCTCTCACCAGCCGCTTCTGGTTTCCGAAAATATGGCTATTACCATGGCCGATAGCATTATTAGGAAAGCTTGCGACCGTTGCCACTCCCAGAAGCTGAGCTGTAAACGCGTCGGCGACGAGGCCTGTGAACGCTGTGTCAGACTTCAAACCGAGTGCAAATCAAGTCCCTCTCTTCGCTATAAGAAGCAGCACCAGCAGCACGGCCAGCAATACCAACGCCAGCAGCAGAGACCCCCTTATCAGAGTCAACAGAAACCTCAGACACAACCGTCAGCATATTCTACGCCAGTTTCAAAGCCCCCTGTCGGCAGGCGTTCGCCCAAGCGTCGAAGGACAGCTTGTGAGTTGGGTCTGCTTTCAGGAGAACAAGGCATGTCATATTACCATGAAACCATAATGATATGACATTGTAATGGGCAGCTTTTCTAATAGCTCTTTCTCGTCTATAGGAATACCGATCAGTCAGCAAGCCGAGGACACATTGTCTGAGAAGCAGAGTGTCGTCGCCACTGAAGCATCATTGGAACCAGCAGACTTTGATTTTAGTCAGATTGAGAACCTCAACTTCTTTTCGCCCCCTCCAGCCGCTTCCCTGCCACACAACGCAGTTCCGGGAGGTCTTGACGCCTTTCAGCCTGTCCCCACGTTCCCAGATCCTTGGGATCAGCAGTTGAATCAAGCCACTGAAGCATTCCACGCTACGCCAACATCTTTCCAACCCGGAGACAATAGCGGTTTTCAATCAGCCGTTCCTTCACTGAGTCTGACAGGAAGTCCTCACAGTCAGTCTCTTGCAGAAAAGCGCAGAAGGCCTCGTCTTAGAAACCGGCCAAGGCAAATTGCGTTACGCCAAATCGCAAACGCACCAGCAACACATATAGACCCCCCAAGTATTCACTGGATGGCGCAATTATCTGAAATCAATTCTCGTCTACTGGACCTTGCGTCTGTTTTGCCCCAGCAGCAACCGGCAGCATGTAATTTTGAAACCCTGGGCAGACCAAATGACGAAGCATTCTCCAACCAGGGGTTTCCAATTGATGAGATGTTCAAGCTTACTCGACGAGTGGCTGACGTCCTCGACCATTTGTCGGCAGGGGGCGGCGCTTCCGCTGCGAGAATGGACAATTCTGATCCTGGAAACTCCATGTTTGTTCTCTCAATATATGTTCGCTTGCTCGACATGTATCAAAAGGTGTTCAGTCTGGTTCGCATGGAACTGTCTCAAGTTGATTCGGAAGCTGCCTTCCGATTCTGGAGACTTCCTGACGTCCAAGTTGGGTCTTTTGCCGTGGACCCTTCGCCATCGTTGCAGATGTCTCTTACTATCCAGTTGGCTGAGGAGTTTCTCGCTCGTCTCCGAGTGTCGACTGCAGCCTTAGATCCTGCTTTGGGCAATGGTGGTGGAATCAAAGGGGTATCTGAAGATGGTGGAGGTAGCAAGTCGATGTTTTCAGATGTAGTGGACATTTCTTTTCGAGCTGTCAAGACGAAGGAGGAGAGCCTAGCGAAGCATCTCGCCGAGTTGCGTGATGAGATCGAGGCCTTTCTGAACCCTTAGACATGGTGTTTGGTGATTATCTGGAAATGGGTACGGTATAAGTGATATAGTGTCGTGTATATCTGCCATTTTGGGATCAAAAGCTTTCAAAGAGGACGTTGGATAAAACACAAAATGTCTCCAGAGAGGGGTAATACACTTACGGTGAGATTAGTAACAAAAAGAGTTCGTTATCCTCTCGTATTGTATAACTATCATAAAGTTACACTTTGATGGCGCAATCTCCCCATGACACACACCGCTCTGGAATATCGACACTGCCTAAGTGGACACATGATCGACTCAAGACTGCAAACATTGACAGGAATCCAAACTGGGACATAATTGGTTTGAGAGAAGCCTCGCGTGACCAGATGGGATTTCCGCGCCAAGCGCCCCCAAAGTCAAAGTCATCAGGCCTGGAAGCAAGCACTTTCAGTTTTTGGCGCGCAGTTTTTTCAGAACGACTTGGGGCCAAAAGTAGGGATACGCCGTCT